GTAGAAAACCTAAAAAAATGAATGTGCATGCTTTATATCATTATAAATATTAAAAGTCAGATTTCTGATATTGTTTGCTTTTATATAATTTTTATTAAAACTTTCAAACAAGAAGGTAAAAAGTAACATAAACTAATATAAAGAAGAAACATCACAGAAAATGTAAAAAGTGCAAGAAAAGAAAAAAGTTGAAGAAAAATAGAAAAGAAAGAAATAAGATAAAAAATGGCTTCTGATATTCTTCACAACAGTTATAAGTACAAATCTATTTTTAACTTCTCTCTCTAAAGTTTGATGTCATAATTGTTCTTCTTTCTATAATCTATCAAGTCTAACCATGTCTTACAAATTCATTTTTTAATTTTTTTTGCAAAATGTCCATAAGAAGCTTCCAGTCACCAATAAATGCAAACAATATTTTTTCTCTAATGAAAGAAGTCTACCCATTTCAGCAAAATCTATCAAGTGTGTTTAGAGGATATAATTTTTTTGTTATTTTGCAGTCACCTCACTTCATTTACCAGTTGTATAGTCAGTTCAGATACCATGTTTTTAAATCTGTATTCTTGCATTTTCCCATTACTTCTTCTAGGTTTGTTTTCTTTCCATAAAAATCGATCAAGAAGGAATAATTGCATAATATCTTTGAATGTGGAGCCAGCACCCAGAATGTTGCTCAATTACCCCATTTGTAAAGGTTGAAATCCCCATTACTTATTCTCAATCTATTTCTTCCTTTTTAAAAACAAATCTGAATTGTCTGAGTAAATGTTCAAACTGTTTATTCACTGTTCCTAAAACATAATACCAGGACATGCGTATTGGTAGCAATGATCCAATGGAATCATTTGAATTCCAACTGAATCTTTGTACCAGGAAGTTATTATTTTTCCATTCTTAATGTTGCGTAAGAAAAAAAAAAAAAGGATAGAGAAGCACAGGAATATTAGAAGTGAAAAGTATTGTCTAAACATCCTCCGAATATTGCAAAATTCTATGAATGAGGCAGAGTGATGTTTTAAAAAATGTCTTGAAGCATCACAAGTACCCACTGAAGCTGATTTTGGTATAATGAGGCATTTTTGGTACACCATTTAGATTTTAGTGAATATTATTAATAAAGCATTGAACACGTATTTAGTTGCATTTGTATCTTGCAGTAAACCAATCAGAGTATTAGAAACACACTGGGACTTTTTACATGTTATTTTGTATCTCCACCTATGACCTGAACATACGTTGGCACAAGTGTAACTTCTGAAGTTGGCTGTCTAAGAGAATCGCATATCCCACATTTGATTTTGGTGGTGCTTCATATATTACAAAATTCTTACGTAGGAAGATGAACTTTAAACAGTCATATCTGGTGACTGTACAACCGTTGTGTAACAGGCAAAATCATTTGCATGCTGATTCCATGCTGATGATGAGAGTTGAGGGATTTTGTGATGAATCAAATCTCTGGACCTCCTTTCCTCAACTTGATATCCTCCAATAAGTTGGATTTCAACTTGTGTAATTCCCAGCCAGTGTGACTTTAAGTAAATTCCCTTGAGTTCCCGTATGATCTTCTTTAAAAGGGTAAGAAAGTATATTATTTCTTGGTGATAAGAATGCAGGTGAAATTGGAGTTCCTTTTCTTTCTTTTACAGAAAGAAATAGAAAAATTACAGAATTTGGGGGAAAGGGGAAAAATACATTTAAAAACCCTATAAAAACAAAACAAGCCAATAAGAAAAATGGTGAAAACTATTTATATCTGTCAATCAAAACAGATTTCTAAAGTTACCTTAGGAAAAATGTCTAATATTACAAAATGTCACAAAATCTATGCCCCAGGAAATTGCATTGAGTCTCTTTTGATTAAGAGATAAAATTGCCTTTTTAAAATGGATGTCACATATCTCTTGAACCTAATCCTTACTACCAGAAATATTACTACTTTTCTAATTCCTCAAAATAATTTTCTTAGTATCGCCCCAGGCCAGAAACAACCATAACTCCTCAAAAATAGTCAAATTCCAGAGTTTTAGGATTTAACATCTTTAACACTAAAAATTTCTCCCTTAAATCTATTTATCTACTATACCTTTAAATATTATTCCAAAATGATATTAGTAAATCACAGGACAAAATCATATTAATCAATAAGCCCTCAACTATTTTACATCATCACTAGAAAAAGTCATTGTGCAAGTAACCTTCCGCAATGTATTGTTTTTATGGTAAGAGAAATTACGGCTGAAATGTCGGTAAGACACAGAGAGATACAAATAGAAGACAACATCATCTGAATGGGTCTCTGGCAGAATTCCATGAATGCGGCTAGACAATTGCACACTAAAATCATTTTAATTATATATCAAGGTCCAAAGTCATGGGAAGGCAGCATTGCAAGATTTCTGCTTTCTTACCTGTGCCTTCCTCAAAACGCCTATGAAGATGTTAAAATCACATGTGACATTTTGCACAATATCTGAAGTGGGATGCTCAAAATCTTGTGAGATATCGCAGCCTTATGAGATTCTGGACAATTTAATGAATAACTAGGTTGCGGGGAGGGAACCCTGCATATTACGAGGTGGTATTCAGCAACTGAAAAGGTTTAGCAGACCTGTCCTAAGATAAACAGGGCTTTATATGTAGAGACCACACACACACAAAGGTTGAGGATGTATGTGGTGATTTTATTGTCTTACATAGTGACATTATATAGTTTGTTACTTTCAAGTTACAGTGTACTTGGCAGCATCTCATTGGCTACAGAATCTTCCAGGTAGCTAGAGTCTTTGGTTAACCATTACTGCTTTGCTTAAGCACTTATAATGTTAGACTTTAATTAAAGTCTAATACACATATATCCCATTTCCTCTCCTGCTGTTCCTCTTATTTACAGAATTAGGGTCTTATCTTTTAATGTAATTTCCTGGCGCTTACGTGCAAGTAACCTTCCTTATCTGAGGTTTGCCATCCAAGACGGGAAAATCCCTGCACATATGCAGATTGCAGATTCCTACATTTATATAATGCATATTTCAATTTAGTTCAATAGTAAATTGGCAACAGTTAACTTCCAAATAGATGCAATAAAATCCTGATAAATTGCCCCCTTTGGCAACCCAGCCATATTTTACATTATCTGCACCTTCAGATCCAAGCTCAAAAGCATCCTTTGGAGGAGTACATTACAATAACTTAACCATCGCCATGACTTAGGACTGTAATTCCAGCCTCAATTCCAGTCGTAAATTGAGGACTACTTGCAAGGATGTCATTACTATTTTGTATTCCTCATTTCCCAGAAGAACATATTTTGAGAGCAGCTTTATTCTGTGCTTGGTATACTGGCAGCATCTGCCTCATCTTGCTGGGACACAGTTAAGCAGGTCAGATATGGATAGTACCCTTTTCATTTATTTACACTAGGTATTTAAAAGGTTTGCCCAGGTGCTTATTTTAAAATACAGCTCTGGGTGGCTGCCAAACTAATAAAAACATAAAACTGTGTATGAATATATTCCATAAGGTAACCTGGTAGGCTAGGCAGATACCCTCAGGGAGAAGACCTACAAAGAACCCAGTCCCATGCCATGTAGGACTTGTATATACTATAGATATAGTATAAAATAATGAAAGCAAATAACAAAACAAAACAGGAGAGTAAATTCAGTTGCAATCAAAATTAATGCCAATATTATTTACATCACCTGATGTTGCTTCAATTTTCATTGGCCATTGTTTCAGTAATGTGCTTATGTGTCCCCCAGGAATACCTTCTGGTCTGTGGTCACATATTAAATACTAGGAGAGGGGATAATTTAAACCTTCACTGGGAGACTTCTTTTCCCTAATATTTCCCAGTAAAAGGTATGTACTACAGGCTGTTTCCAATAAAGCTGGATTTCATGACATACCAAGATAGTCTGTCCACCACAACCAGGAAGTTCTTGGCTGTTTTACCAAACTTCTGCCCTGCTCAGCTATAGGAAAAATTAGGAAGATTGATAGCAAAACTAGGCATGTAGCCATTCAGTTACATTAAAACCCCACTCAGTAACAGGAAAATATTATAATACAGAAATAAAAATACAACAGTTTCTTCATATCCCATATACTTTGGCTCAAACAAACAGAATATCACTTACATGCATGGTACTGGTATCTTATGGAAATCTTGGCAACATCTTGATGTTCTCTTTCCTAGCAATATATTTCAGCCTTTCAGAATCCATGATTCCCGTGTAAATGTAGTCTGCAGCAATTACATGCACAATTATCAATAAGAATAGCATTTGTGTGTCATATGAAATATGTTGCAGTTGTCTGGAAAAGTAATTCATAAATTAATAGATGGAGCATATTCTTTTTGGGTGAACATTTATGTCTTATAAATTTAGGCTTGATTTCAAGCTGATACATGCAGGTTTATTTAACACTGGAGACTTGCAACATTACAGATCAAATGTCGCTGGTGGAATTTTATTTATACCATTCAGTGTATTCATGTATTCAACTTACAAATATCCAAATATTAAGGAACCATTGGTTTGTAACAAAACAATCAGTTTGTCTGCCTGCCCTGCCTTCCATTAACTCTAACTTGCTTACAAAACCCCCATTTCATATTAAGATGGAAAACAATTCAAAACTATACTTGTTCATTTATTTATTGAGTTTATTTATTTGTGCATGGCCATTTGGATCATTTTCCTCTGTAAATAAATGAACAGGTACAACATTTTTTGGCTCATTTTAATTGGGATCTCTTTATCTAGCTTTAGGACTTGGGTGGGGAACAGATGATGTTTTAGGTCATATTTATTCAGAAATATTGAAAATTCAAAAGGGTTCATAAATTTTTAAGCACCACTGTACATGGCTCCTTGTTTTTCAGCATTGTGATTTCTTTTAATGCAGTGACCTTTTAATGCAGTGACCTTGGTGCCTAATGGCAGTGATTGTCAACATTTGGTGATTCTTCCTTCTTCTTCCTTTTCCAGCTGACAACCTCCAAATACCCAGTGGTGGTAAAGATGGGACATGCTCATTCTGGAATGGGAAAGGTGAGGTGTAAAAGTTCTCAAAAAAACAGAGCCAGAGTACGCTCACAAACCACCATCCTGCAATAACATTCACCCAGATATTCCTTTGAGATACATTAATGTAACCCTTTCACTAAAGGTCTTTTCCCACTTGCATTTAACCATGGCATAAACATCTTGTGGTGGCAACAATCTTTTTTTTCCTACCATGTTTCATGATCTTGCCTTCCTATCGTCCCCAACTTTCCGAAATGGGCTTTCTCAGCCATCCTTAACCATATGAGGATTAAAGTAGCATTTCCCTACTCTTTTGTCACCATCCAAGAGTAGCCTCAAAGTATTAACTTCTGTAGGATCACCCATTACCTCAGAGTATGATTATCAGTTGTTCAGCAAAAGGAGGCTCTTTTGTTCTGATGTCCTTTGTCTGGCAGGCATAACCTTAACATCAGAAATTGTTCAGCTTTTTGGGTATTTGTTCTCAAGCAATTTTTCACTGTAGTGTAGCATTTCCCTAATAAGGATTAACCCCAAGTTTACAAGCTCAGCTCTGTGACCTTAATTAGTACCCTCCCACCAGTGTGACAGCTGCCTGAAATTGACCAGACCTCAATTAGAAGTTGAAGCTTTTTGCCTCAAGGGCTAAAGGTAAAGGTTCCCCCTGCACATGCGTGCTAGTCATTTCTGGCTCTAGGGGGCAGTGCTCATCTGTTTCTAATCAGAAGAGCCAGTGCTGTCTGAAGACGTCTCCGTGGTCATGTGGCTAGTATGACTAAATGCTGAAGAAGCTGTTACCTTCCCACCAAAGTGGTCCCTATTTTTCTACTTGCATTTTTTACGTGCTTTCGAACTGCTAGGTTGGCAGAAGCTGGGACAAGTAACAGGAGGTCACTCAGTTACGTGGTGCTAGGGATTCGAACCACTGAACTTCCGACCTTCTGACTGATAAGCTCAGCATCTTAGCCATTGAGCCACCGTGTCCCATCTCTTAAGGGCTAGTACTTTCTCAATGTTTATTTATTCCCCACTTTACTGTGTGCCTCTTTACTCACTTGTAATCCATTCCTCTCCAATGAATAAAAATTCAAATACCATATAGGTAGTGTATCCATTATCCTCTTTTCTAATTGTCCCTACTGTCCATTCTCTGTTCAGATACCTGGTAACCCTACCTTGAAGGGGAGTCATGAGATTGGCAGTGATCTGAAACTGAGGCAAAGAGCCAGGCACAGGGACACTCAGTGGGGTCAACCATTTTCACCCTGTTAAAATGTTCTGCTCACTCAAAGCAGTTTGACTCAGCAGTGGGGAGAAGGCCTGCAAGGCAACTCAAAGGTTTTTCTTTTAAATGATCTAGATTAATTAGTTTGCCTTCATCTTTGTTTATCTCGGTATCTGTTACATGCTGATCACTTAGATCCCTGCTCTGCCTGGAATGCAAAGTTTATTACCTAGTCCACAGAGCTGCTAAACTCCTGCTTTGTGTCTCTTCCCAAGTTGCAAGTAACAGTATGTTCTTTTCCTCTTTCCTAGGTTATTTTCATTGTTGAGACAGAAACCCATTAGATTGTACAGCATTCCTGTTTTGTCTCTGACATCCCCATTTCCGCTCCTTTTCAGGGGGGCAATTGTGGGAAGAATAATCTTTCCTCACAATAACATCTGTCCCAATTAGCCACAAATAGATCTTCAGTGTTAAAATATTCCCCAGCAACTCCAGCTGCAATTTATAATGGATTCCTCTTTTGTTTAGGAACAAGTATAGAAATTGATTTTGTTTGTTTCTTTATTTAACTGTACTTGTGACCTAGCCCGGTCCTGGAGGCCTTGGGCAGCATAAAACCACAAATAAAGGCCAAAAACAAAAAGAACCCACAGTATAACAAAACCACCATGAGAAAGCAAAAGCAAACTCAAGATAGCTACCCACAACCATTCAACTGGGACCAAAGACTTGTTAGAATTGAGCTTTTGACCTGTTTCCAAAACATCTGCAAAGTGGTGGCTGAAAAATTTTGTAGGGAGGGTATTTCCACCAAGAAGGCCTGCTGTCTGATCCATATCTGCTTTACCTCACAAAATGAGGGTGGGGGTGGCAGATCCTCTCTGGAAGACCAGACTGGATGAGTACATTTGGCTGGAGAGCTGTTGCCTGATGTTTGTGAAAACAACAACAATGAGAAACAAAAATAAAGGAAGAAAAGTTGACACGAACAGAAGAGAAACAAACCCACACAATCCAGGCAATTTCACTCATTGTTGATAAAAGCCTGGGGGAAGCCAAGTCTTTAAGGCCCTTCAAAACACCAGCAGGGTGGGAGCCATCTGGATCTCAGAGAGAGCTTCATTCCAGTGAGCAAATTATACTACAGAGAATGGGCATTTCTGGCATCCCGATAGAGGGCTTTATTCAATCAAAGGAACTCAGAGAACGTCGCCAACCCTGCCATATTAAATCAGGCAGGTTGATACTATGGGAGATACGTGGTTCCTTAGATAACAAGGCCCTGTGCCATGTAAGGCTTTAAAGGTATTATCCAGTACCTTGAACCATGAAGGTACATCGGCATACCAAGGCATGCTCATTACCACCATCACTGCTGCATTCTGGACCAATTGAAAATTCTGAGTGGTCTTCAAGGGTAGCACTGTATAGAACATGCTACAGTAGTTAGGCCATGAGGTGACCAGGGCATCAGTGACTATCTGAAGAGCCTCCCATTCTAAGAAAGGACAGAACTGGGGCACCAGATGAAGCTGTGCAAAGGTCTTCCTGACTAAGGCTACAACCTGCTCCTCAAGCAGGAGCCATGAGCCTAGGAAGACTGCCAGAGTGCACACTCTTAAATGGAGAAATACAATCCCACCCAATCAGGGATGGAATATCTCCAGATCTGATAGACCAAATACCCACAGCCACTTGATTTTGGTGGGATTGAGTCAGAGAGGGTCCCTCCCTGTCCAAATCTGCATAGCTTCCAGACACAGGGATAGAACATCTTATTCCAGAGTCATCAATGTATCAAATCCCAAACCAGTGGATGACCTCACACAATAACTGAAAAGGAGATGAGAAGAACAGAGCATAATGAGTGAGATGAGATGAACAGAGCATGTGAGTTCCCATAAAAGAGGGACCAAGATAATTATTTCTCTCTCCTCTTCCATCAACAATATCAACAGGAATTGGCCCAGAGAAAGGAAGAGAACCACTGTATATGTGTGTCTCCATTCCCCAACCCATGAAACTGACTTAGAAGGATACTGAAGTTGACAATATTGATAGCCACTAAAACAAGGGAGTCAAATTCGCAGCCTGCAGACTGGATGCGTCACGCACTGGCCACACCAGTTAGAGAAGGGGGGAAAAGTTGTGATACGTCACGTGATGATGTGACGCTGCAAGTTTGACACCCCTGCAGTAAAAGATCAAGAGCACAAAGGATGGATGCACCATCTTCATCCTGGCTTTACCATAAGTCGTCTCCATCAATGGCCAAAGCTGTCTCAATCCTAAATCCCAGTCTGAAGCCTGACAGAAATGGGCTCGGATCATCCATTTCCTCCAGGTTTTCACCAACTGCAGACTGATCACAGTGTCAACAACTTTTCCCAAAAAGGGAAGGTTTGGAGACCAGATGATAGATATCAAAAACCAGGAGTGAAATGCTACCAGTTCGGACCAGTTCGGGCAAACCGATAGTAAAAAATGCTACCAGTTCAGGCGAACCGGTATTTCCGACAATCAGCTGGGCGATGATCAGCTGTGATGCACGATTTATATTAGCTAGGATCGTCGGATTTCCTGCTTTCTAGCTAATCTAAATCGTGGCACAGCGGATTCCCCACCCCTCGCTGTTCTACTTACCTTTGCAGATTCGGAAGGCTTCAAAATGTTCCTTTTTTAGTGCTGCGTGAGTGCGCCTCAGGCACGCATGTGTGTGCAAAGCGTGTGCTCAGTAGCAGACTCACAAAACTGGTAGCAGACTTCAGAGGATTTCACCACTGTCAAAAACCCATTGGGTCCGAAGATGACTGGCATCATTGACTCTTCCAAGGCAAGAGGCATCATCTCCTTTGTCAAAGAGGCTGACGCTACAGAATGGGCCCAACCATTAGATAAAGATTTCTGCTAGTTTTTTATGGCAGGCTGAATCCATGAGAAAATTATGTCAGTAGATGTTCCCGGATAAAGAGCTTCTAGCACTATCTGTTTAAATCATTACATGGTGTGTTTTTTGTATTTTCATATTTAACATTTTGGGGGAAATAAATAAAAATAATGGGCTACAATAATGCAATTATTGTACAATAATGCACTATTGTATTCCTGTATGATGTGATCAAATGAAGAAGAGAATTTCACACAATAAACCTAGCCAGGAAATATGTAAAACATGCAATTTGGAAGGGTAAATCAGATTTTAAAGAGGTCAAAATTCAGTTGCTGAAATGTGGGTGATGTAGGCTTCTCTGCTTATATTTGATACAGTAAATGCAAAAGCTTCTGTTTGTTACAGGTCAAGGTGGAGAACCAGTATGATTTCCAGGACATAGCCAGTGTAGTAGCACTCACCAAGACCTATGCCACCTCAGAACCTTTTATTGATGCCAAGTATGATATCCGTATACAGAAGATTGGCAATAACTACAAAGCCTACATGTGAGTCTGGTAAAAATTTGCCATGTTTATGTTTCCTTACTCTTAGCAAATGTTGCAATTTCCCCCTAGAAGCTTCTTGACCTGCACTTGATCCCACCATTACTTAAATCAACTTCCTTTCTACTTTGCCTCCTCCCGTCAGCAGAATGATGTCTTCCATGAAGCTTTATTGATCCTGGTCAGCATTTTCAAATCACTTTCTAGAAACAATCCTGGAAGAGGTGACCATTGCAGAAGTTTGGGTCTCGCATCTTTAATAAGTGAACTATATGGGAATTTTGGCAAACGCACATTGTCATATAAAATTGAAATATCTACACTTGCTGAAATTCTCTCTTTTTTTTACAAACTATGAGAGATACAGTACGTACCACTCTGCTCCCCCCCACCCTTTTCGATCTCTGTGCTATCTCTGAGTGAAAGTTTAGAGTGTACCTCCTTTGAGGACTCAGTTTCTGAAAACACCATATTTAATATACCCTTTATCTGACAAGCCCCATTTGAATTCCCCCTTCTCAATCTCTATCAGTCTCTTTCCTGATGTTATTGACCTCCTTTTTCAAGGAAATGTTTGCTCTCTGTTTCCTCCCTGGATCTTTTAATACCCATAATGTCCTCTTTCCCCTGGCAGGAGGACCTCCGTTTCAGGCAACTGGAAAACCAATACTGGCTCTGCCATGTTGGAGCAAATAGCTATGTCAGATAGGTGAGTGGCATGGATGGGGAAATATGATTGGGTAGATAGAAGGGATTATAAATAAATGCTTAGAATAGGAGGACTCTTCCTCCCTATGGCTTCCCAAGGTCTTCTCCTGGCTAAATATATCTGAGTGAAAGTGATAAAATTAGGAGGGTTCTGTACTTGTGCTACATTTATAATTTTGTCTCTGTTCTTGATCTTTTCCATTCTGCGGTAGGTACAAGCTATGGGTGGACACTTGTTCAGAAATTTTTGGTGGTTTGGACATCTGTGCAGTAGAAGCTCTACATGGCAAGGATGGACGTGACCACATTATTGAGGTTTGGTGCTGGGAATGCTTATATTTTAACAAATGTACCAAGGAACACAACCTTTTTAAAAAATTACTAAAAGAAGGGAAGATCAGAATGCCAGGTTAAAAGTTTCTTTTTAAATTGAGGATTTTTAAGCAAATCAGCTCTTTTTAACAAGTTTGTTCTGGAAATAATGAAACCTCAACATACATGTGTTTTTAGGGTACCGGGACAGTATTGTACTCTCTCAGACCAAAGCGATTTGAGTTGAAATCCATTTTCAGCTGCGATGCTCACTAGATAGCATTAGGCCAAATCACTTTCTCTCTCCCCTTTTACTCAAAAAATCCAACATTAATTTAGTCTGTCAGGGAACCTCTGTCATTGCTATCGTTGTAGAAAACCTTATGGATATTTACTGAAAAGATTTGGAGAATGGTTTGGAAAAACCTTGACCCACCTTAAAAAACTCAATCTTCTTATTAATATCCAGAATATATAGTTCAATGTGTATTGGAAAGCTCAACCATTATAAAACAACTGGCGGTTAATGTTAGGGTCCACTCTGCTTCTACTTCATTTTCTTATGTTTTTGGTGAATGTATATTTTGTCTATTGATGATGACGTGCAATTGGTTTTCCATATTACAGGCAGTGGGACAAACTGGCTTCGTTCCAGTTACTTCCTGGCTACATGGATCAGACTGTATTCTTTGAGTCACCACCCATTGCACCATGTGGTTTTGTTAACACTATTGCTTAGTGTTTATACACACAGCACACGTAATCCTTCCAACAAATATCCTGTAATGGTGGTCATCTGTTATTATCTCCATTCTGCAGATGATTATCTTCTGTAGGGAGAGAGGCTGTCAGAGGAAAGCTATTCTCTGGATGTTATCCATATTTCTTATTGCCTATTTGTTTTCATCCGAAGTTGAAACTTCTGCTAGTGCCATTAATGTTTAAAGTAGGCATTTAAAAAACAACAATAACGTCATTTCCTGCAGAAAGTCTTGGACTAATTCACACATGTTCTACTTAAGGGAAACAGCTCACTTCCTGTTTGTTCTTGTTCTTTCCTCAGGTAGTGGGATCATCCATGCCTCTGATTGGAGACCATCAAGAGGAAGATAAGCAGCTGATTGTGGAGCTGGTACTGTTACGCATGGCCCAGGTCATTCCTCGCACCCCCGTGCCCTCCCCTGTGCGCTCTGCCTCAGGACAGCATGCCCAGGTATTACAACTTTGTTTTTCATCATAAACAGAACATTAGTCATTCCTCATTTTTTGTTTTTCCCCTGTAGTTTATGTTTAGTCACTGCTTACTAGAAATTGAAGGAAAGGAGTCAGAAGAAGGAGGAAATGCTGGCTCAGAGCAGCAAACGGTGATAGTGAAGTTTACAGTAGAGTTCAGATTATGACAACAGTAATGGGGAACCAAGCACAGGTTGCCTGCATTAGAACCAGGCTTAGTATCTGAAATTTCTAATTAAAAGTTGGTGGGTCAAAAAGATGCAGAAGATTTCAGCATGAGGGACTCTTTGATTTTGATAATTTTGACAACAAAAACTCTTTTGTTTTTGATAATGGACAGTTAGATGGCTTAAAGGTAAAGGTAAAGGTTCCCCTTGCACATATAAATCAAATTAAAAAAAAATATATGTGCTAGTCGTTCCTGACTCTAGGGGGTGGTGCTCTGTTTCAAAGCCAAAGAGCCAGCGCTTTCTCTGTGGTCATGTGGCCGGCATGACTAAATGCCAATGGCGCATGGTCCCTATTTTTCTACTTGCACTTTTTACGTGCTTTCGAACTGCTAGGTTGGCAGAAGCTGAGACAAGTAATGGGAGCTCACCCTGTTATGTGGCACTAGGGATTTGAACCACTGAACTGCCAACCTTTCGATCGACAAGCTCAGCGTCTTAGCTACTGAGCCACCGTGTCCCTGATTAGATGGCTTAGGAAAGCCTAAACGATGAAGTCAAAGTCAACATTTCTTTCTAATTATTTGATCTCAAGCACCTGATGTTCTTCTATAATACTGTAGAGATTTCATTTAAATGCCATGGATAATAAACATTGGTAGATTGGTCTGCTTTGAATTTGTCCAATCTCACTTTCAAGATCTTAAGAGCAACTCTCCTGGATGCAATCCAGCGTTCTGTTTCCCACAGTAATTGCCAGCTAGAGGCCACTGTGAAATTCACAAGTGCCACCAGGTCCTCCTACTCATGATTTTTAGCAAGAGGCATTCAGAGGCATACTGCCTCTAATCCTAGAAGTATATAACCGTCTCAAGTAAAATGGCTATTATTTGTCTAATGTTCCTTAAAAGCCATTGAAGTTGGTGGCTGCCATAACAGTTTGCGTTATGAAGAAGAATGCTTCTCTCGTGCTTTGAAGCTTTTCCTTAGCTAAATTGCTATCATCACATCTGTCAAAACAAATTTCAGCGGTTTAGAGACACTTCCCCCTCCCCACCCCCATGTATTGCCAAGCATCTGGGGAAAAGGAAGGGCAAGGAAAACTCTCTGTTTGTCAAGCCATTCCTCATGTTTTGCGAAGAGTTTACATGATTCCCAGTATTTGATGGCTCCAGTGGAGAAAGATTCCTCCATGTGTCATCTGTGCATTTTTTTGGATTGAATGCCTGAATGGGGCAGCCTACTAAGGAAAGATTTGGAGACATTCTTGTATTGCATGGCCGATGCTACAAAGAAGATAGAATATCGCAGAAATAGGAAAACTATAGCTGGGCAGGATGGGATAAAAGGAAAGAAGGATAAGTTTTGATGCATGCGCCTGCTTTTGTTTGCTTTCCTTCATAGGCTCAGTCAGCTCAAGCTGGACAGAGACAAGGCCCTCCAGCCCAACAGAGACCTCCACCCCAAGGTGAATTATGCTTTGGGGGAAATTGTGGCTCAGGTGGAGGGCATCAGAATTTTTTGTTGAAAGGGAATTTTAGCAGATTAAGAAGGCTAAAACAGTCTTCACTCTGTCTTTCAGGAGGACCTCAGCAGCCACCTCCAGGCTCCCAGCGCCCTCCATCTCAGCAACGCCCCCCTCCCCAAGGCCAGCAACTCTCAGGCCTTACCCCACAGCCCAGTGGTCCCGCAATGGGTCAGCGTCTGCCCAGCCCCACCACCCAGCAACCCCCACCACAGGCTCAGCAACGTCCTGCAGGGCAGCGCCAGCCTGGGCCTGGAGTCCAGCAGTCTCGCCAGCAGGGGCCACCCTCTGCTCCACAGTCCCCCCAGCCTCAGAGAGGGCCGAGCCCCAGTGGCGGAGGACAGCAGCAGTGGCAGCAAGGTTCCCCCCAGCAGCAGCAGCAGCGGCCCGCAGGGGCTGGCCTGTCCAAGACAGCATCTGGGGGCCTCCCAGGGCAACAGCAGCAGGCCCAGCAGGCCCAGCGCCCTCCAGCGGCTGGCGGTCAACCACGGCAGCATCCACGGCAGGGCAGTCAAGGGGGCCTGGCCCAGCAGCGCCCACCGGGAGCAGGAGCACAGCAGCAGCGCCCAGCACCACCCACTACCCAGCAGCCGAGGCCCAGTACTCAGGGGCAGGGTCCTGGTGGCCCAGGGCAACAAGGGAACCGTCCTCCACCAAGCCAAGGAAAGCCACAAGTTGCCCAGAAACCCAGTCAGGATCTGCCACCTCCACCCCAGCCCCAGCTGAAGTAAGCGTTGGACTCTTGGGTTCTCTGTGAAGGGAGCAGGGTTAGGCAGGCTCCAAGACTTAATTTTCGCAATGTTCCTAGCTAAACAGGGGTTTGGTAGGTTGCCATGGTGATCTGGTAACCTCAGATACTTAAGGGCACAAGCCGTGCTACATGCACTTTCCCCTAACACCAATTCAAGATCACTTTTGCAAAATCAGTGTGTTGTCATTTTGTGTCCTTTTCACTTTTGTCAAAGTTCACTAAGGGGCTAGGGGAGAATATTAAATGAGAAATGATGAGGTGCAGTAGGATGACAAGGGAGGGAAGAGAACGAAAGGTCACTTGCTTATAAGAAATTCTTCACTGACATCATCACAACTGTCTTGCTTTTTTATGTTCGCTTTTGTTTGCCACTGTGAGAACTAGACACTACTTTTTATACAAAAAAAAAAAAAAAAAAAAACTCCTCCTGAAACAGAAAAGAGTTACTTGATTCTCCACATATACAAGGTCATCATTCGAAAGGATGCAAAAAAACCCCAAACCCCATGCTTTAAGATGTCACGTTCCTGAGTTGAAATTTGAAAAAAAAAATGCTTTTTTTTTTAAAAAAAAAAGTACACTTAAAACCCCCTAACTATAGTATATAAATCAAACCTTGCAGGATAAATTTGAAGTTGAGGGGTTAGCATAAATTTAGGAAAGATGTATTTCATCATCACTTGTGCTGCCTGTGACAAGTGTTTCCCATGGCCGTCTGTCAGGGGTGGCATAGAAACAGGGATGAAATTGTTTGGCCAGTGAAAGGGAGAGCAGAAAGTATTACCCTCACTTTCAATTGGCTTTGCGGGTTATGCCAGTTATAGGGGGTCAGTTTTGCTGAGATCAACAAGAAGATTGTTATTATTTTTTTTAACAGAGAAGCAGTTCCATACAAGGGCAGCAGCACTTAGGGCTCCAGAAAAGCACTTCTTGCTGAATAACTTCTTCAAATATTTCGCTGCAGCTCTTCGTCAGCCCAAGCTTGCCAAAATCACACAGAGAGTTCATGTTCCTCTGCTCTCAATTCAACAGGATCTATCCATAATGAAAAGAATTGGAAAGAATTGGAATGGGGCGGCCGAAGGGGGTGGGTGGGTGGGTGGGTGTTTCAATTAGAAGAAAATGTCTGAGAATTTCCCTCTTCCCTCATGTTTTCCTGCTGCAGGATCATTTCCCTAGTCTTTCCCTACTGGATGCACCCTCCTTTGAAGTATTAAATTAGGGCTGGAGGGGGGCAATGAGGCCTCTCAATGGCCTTGCCCCCTTTGCAGCTCTGTGCTTGCTTCTTACCCTACTCTAGAGAAGGAGGGCAATGCTTCCCAAACTCCCCTTTCTTCTCTCCCAGCATTTCAGACAAAGCAAGTTCTGTTGCCTGACCTGATTTTAATAGTGTGTTTCTCATTTCTCCTCTCCGTCTACCCCTCCCTTCTTTCCTGCCCCCCCATTCCTCCCTCACTGTTCCTTAGCAAATCCCAGTCTCTGACCAATACCTTCCCCCTTGCAGAGGCACCGGTGCCGCGGGGCAGCCTTAGTCAGGATGAAGTGCGTGCTGAGAGCATCCGCAGCCTCCGACAGAGCTTCGCCAGCCTCTTCTCCGACTGAGAGACTTCCCCTCTGTACTGCGACCCTTCACTTCCCCAGGCCTAGATCCCTTTCCCTGTCTTCTGAGACTCTGAACCCCGTGTCCCTTCACTGCTTCGACCCACCCCCATGGGAACGCTCTTCCAAAATGAATCTGTTTATTTGTTTATTTTTAATCCCACCTTTTTTTATTTTGAAGAATTTCGTCTGCCCTCTCCTCCATGAACAGCAATCCCATGGAAAGGGGGAAGCAATACATATCCCTGGAGATCCCTGGTAAAAGGAATGGCACCTGCTGGAAATGGTCAGAGCTAGAAAATGGGTTGATATTAAATCCCTAGGAATACTCAGGCTTTTGAGGCCGGTCATTCTGAATGTAAAGATGGATGGTTGGTTTAAAATTAATTTTTATTTATTTATTAGATTTATACAGCCGCTCATCTCACATATATGACTCTGGGTGGCTTATAATGAAGAAGTTATCTGTACAGAGCAATTATCTGCAGAGAGAGAGAGAGAGACAGACAGACAGATGGATGTGTGTGTGTGTGTGTGTTTGTGTGTATGCACATATCAAAACAACCTTCTCTACCCTAAATGAAACAAGAACTACACAGTCTTCTGGGCAGAAAGGTCTGTTTATGTTCTTTTAAAATCCTAAACCTTCCCTCTGCCACTATCCTTTGTTCTGGGAACCTATTTTTTGCTCTGTTTTCTATGACTAATTCTGTATCCATTCCTGCAGAATATACTATCCCCATGCAAATTAAACCTGCCGGTTGTCAGAGAGCTTCCTTCCTTCCTTCCATCAGGATCTCCCTTTTCATCCGGAGGCTGCAGATTTCTCAAGTCCACATCTCTTCATATAAATATGCAAACTTTATGCCTGGTTCTCTTCTCCCAGCCTAGGGGCCCCCAGGCTTGGGAAAAAGGGAGAGGAGAGGGGTCTCCAGGGATCTCTATACATAGCATGAGGGAGGGGACTTCTCCTGGGGCCCATGTCTGTGTTTGTGGCCACAAAGATGTCTATGTTGCTGTTTGTGAATAAGCCAGTCAATTGCCACTTGCCCTTTGCACAATCCTGTTGTCCCCACTCCTTAGCTGCCCGCTTCCAACTCTTGTTGCCTTGGCTGCAGGTTCCGCCCCCACTTCAGCAATGTGCAACTTTCTTCCCATGCGTTTTGGTAATAGTATACTCGGCAAGCCTTAATCTAGACACACACTTCCTTTCCATCCTACCTCACACTGTTTTTTTCCCCCAACCCTCCTAGTAGCACTGCAGAAAACCCCCAGTCTGTCACTCCACTGTAAGCTTTAGCATCTACTGATCATCAGGAAGGTGCTGGGCAGGGCCAATGAGGTACTTTATCCTCAAACTTTTTGCTAAATTGGTTTAAAACCCAGTCGTCATGGAGGAGAGACAATTGGCCAATACTTTGAGTTTGTGGTGGAGAATGCAGTTGTTTTTGTTAAGCCCATTTCCTGTCCTTCCTTCCTTCCACTTGGCCAATCAAATCTATCTGCTCTTCTCCCAAAACAGCCATAGTACTGCCACTATAGCCAAGGGATGCTTTTGCTATTTTGATGACTGAAGGAATAAAACTTCATCCCCGATGGACACACAAGGGGTTCACATCCAAAAGCAGAACTTGGTCCCCTCCCTCTCCCCCTTGTATATAACTCAAGAGAGAAAACTCCCCACTCTATTTTTGTGATTCTCCTTTATCCCTAAAGCTGTGTCAATTACTCTTGTCCCCTTCTTTGAAAGATCATGGGGACAGTGCCACTTAACGCGTGATGGTCTGATAGCTGCAAAGTCGCGTGTTGTAGCTGTGTTGTGACATGACGCTTTGAGCTGTGTTTGCAACTTAACTGTCAGGTTGGGGAGGGGGGATGCAGCAGAGGCTCAATTCCTGTGTATTACACCCCCTTTCCATTCTTCAGCCTCTTCTCCCCAGAGATCTATTCCTTTGCCACCAAGAGATCTGGGAAGGACAATTTAAAGTGCTAACTTGGTATCTTTGTTATTTATTCTTGTCTGGAAAGTGCATCCCCCTCGCACACTATTTTTGTGGGAATAGAGGCCTTTCCTATTGCTGTGATTCTGTCTCTGTGAATCAAAATTTCAATGGATCAGTGATGTAAAAAACATAAATAAATAAATATATCTATATTAAAAATCTGAATGCTTGCTGGAAAAATGCATGTTCTGTCACTGGAATGAAATCAATGCACACATACAGACACTACATATGAAGAGATATGAAGAGAAAGGGATATGATGACATCAAAATGGAGAAGTGAATAGATGAAAGCAAGTATATGTAGTATGGGAAGAAAGGGGTGTGGATTTTCTTCTCTTTTTGTGGCCTCAAGGAGTCGACAACAGTTAGGTGTAATGTGCCCCTGCTGGTGAGCTTCCCAATGCCCATGTGGGTCCTGTTGAGACACAAAATGCTGGGTTACGTGGATAGTTAACTTGATTTGGCAAGATTCTGTTTTGTTAACTTTGTTGATGTATCCTAGCAGTGAAAATAATTTTTTGCAATGTCTCACATTCTTAAGGGCCCTTCTTCACATTGAAACCTGTGAGACCAGTATGAAACATTATTTTAAAAACAGCATTTATTGTCGTATTACTTCTATTTTATAAACAAAATTCCAATGTGAAATAACTAAGGGCATACGGGATACACACAAACCACTTAAAGCAGTTGCTTCTTCATTATGATAAAATGTGGCTAGGCATCCACTTTGAAAAGGGCAGCAGTCCCATTTGCTGTCATGGATCATGTAGTCTACTTTTTTTGGGGGGGGAATTAAAGTCATTTAAAGTCGAGAGGAATTTATGCTTAGGCTGTATAGCGCTTTCAACATAATAATTTCGAGGAAGAGATTTAGATGCTGTTTGCATGGTTACTACACTTCCCAACGTTGACAGGGAAGAAACGCAGAGCTGACTCAGAGAAGTGTATACAACAGTAACTATTTATTTTGTTTATATACTGGTGTAATTAAAGACTCCTGGAGTAGGTCCATCCTGCTCTGTTAATTGGTCTGGACAAGTGGGTTTCTTTGGAAAACGTATATGTGGAAAAAGAAACCAAAAGAAAACCATTTGTTTTTAACCAAAACAAATGGTGGACTGAGGTAATCCTCTCTGTGATGCCAGGATACATTTGGGGCTCTCTTGGCAAAGAAAAGGCACGTGATAGAATGAGAGTGAGAGGCATGTATAAGTATGTATCTCACATGTATGTCACATATGTATCGCATGAGTGAGAGGCATGTATCAAAAAATACATTTTCATGGAAGAAAATGGACAGACACCAATTTTTATTAAAGAGTCTTAAATACAGATGCTCCTCACATAGTGGCCACAATTGAGACCAGCAATTTTGTTGTTAAGTGAAACGGTCACTAAGATAAACCATAACTGTGCTTACGATCTTATTTCAGCTTACCTCTGTTGAAGTAAGGGCCTAAATGTGAGGATTGGCTGTAAAGTTACTTTTTCATCATTCATAATTGCAAATGATCACTAAATGCAGTTGCTTAATAAAGGTTACCTATATCTGACTATTGCCACTGGCATTATAGCAGCAATAATCATGTGCTCGCACTGTATCATCTGGTATGCAAAAAATAATAATAACTCCTGTGGAGTCATGTTAGTTCTTTCTGAGGCGAAGGAGAGAGATCCATTTTAGAGCTCTTTCTAAGGATGAGGAATGCTGAAAGTCCAAAATCCAGGTAAGTCTACTCTAGCCTCCCATCACGCATAGACTCTGTGGCCAGGCCAGCCATTTGATGGCAACTCTGATTGGGACTCCTTGTTAGCAAAATAGGGAGAAAAAGCTGTAAAATGGGTTTAGCCTCATTAGAGGCAAGATGTTTCCAAATTCCAGTTTCTGGAAGGTACAAATGGCAAACCTCTATGGTGCATTTCTTTACAGATCCTCCTTAACTTACAACCATTTGTTTAGCAATTGTTTGAAGTTATGATAGCGCTGAAAAAAGTGACTTACAGGCAGTCCCAGTACTTACGACAGTTGCAGGATCCTTATGATCACTTGATCAAATTTCAAGTACTTGGCAATCAGCATATATTTATGGGGGTTGCAGCATCCCAGGTTCATTGATTGCCATGTGTGACCTTTTTAGCCAGCTTCGGATGAGTAAATTCAGCCAGGGAAGCTGGATGTGCTTAACAACCATGTGATTCACTTAACAACTACAGAGGCAAAAAATGGTTCTAAAATTGGACATTACTCAGCAATAGCAATAGCTCTTAGACTTATATATCATTTCATAGCACTTTATAGCCCTCTGTAAGTGGTTTACAAAGTCAGCATATTGCTCCCAACAATCTGGGTCCTCATTTTACCCACCTCCGAAGGATGGGAGCTTGAGTCAAACTTGAGTTGGTCAGAATCGAACTGCTGACAGTCAGCAGAATTAGCCTGCAATACTGCATTCTAACTACCATGCCACCATGGCTCTTACCATAGAACACATACCATGTCTCTAAGTTAAAACTAGGGTATAGATCATAGACTCTAGTTAACAACTGCCTTGCTTAGCAATGGAAATCCTGATCCCAATTATGGTCGTAAATCAAAGACTAACTGTTTTGAACCAATTTGTATGCCACCCAACTCCTAATGACTCTTACTTATTGTTGCCTGTTTATAGGATTTCTGGTGACAAGTTTGGCCAATGTAAAAAACAATAGGGTGAACTAACTAGACCTTTTGGCTTGATTCAAAAAACTTTCTGGATTGCCAGGGCTCCTTCTTTAGGAACGGCATAAAGAATATGACCTCTTTCCCTACTTCGGTCCGTGTGTCACATCAGTTATCACCTGTTCTAAAAAAATGCTCTATTCTCTTACTTTCCTTCAAGGAAACCATTTACATAAATTCAAAAATAACCTAGCTATTTCCTTTACCAGCTGGAGGTGCTTACAGACTCAGTTTCATAGCCTTTTCCCATGAAGGGAAGTAAGAGAATAGAGCATTTTTTAAAATGAGATGATAACAGTGATACAATGTCCTGGTATTCTAGCACCCTCTATCGATTAAGGAAACACCTGCTCTTCTTTTCTTCTTTTTTGATGGGTTGGAGAAATAAATAGATGAATGAAAGAGTGAGCAGGACTTGGAGAAAGTGGATAATAAAAATTGAAAGAAAAAACAAAAACAGGAAGATGGGGTGGAAGCAGAAGAAAAGCAGATTAGACTTGGTGAGAGCAGCAGCAATTGGGGCCAGGGTGGTTATGATGGCGGTAAGCACGATAAACATCCTGAGAAAACAGCAGGAAGTACTGAAACAGTAACTGATGTGACACATGGACCGAAGTAGGGAAAGAGTCATATTCTTTATGCCGTTCCGAAAGAAGGAGCCCTGTCAATCCAGAAAGTTTGTTGAATCAAGCCAAAGCAGAGGTGAAATCCAGCAGGTTCTAACAGGTTCTGGAGAACTGGTAGCAGAAATTTTGAGTAGTTTGGAGAACCAGAAAATACTACCTCTGGCTGGCCCCAGAGTGGGGTGGGAATGGAGATATTGCGATATCCTTCCCTCAGGAGGGGAGGGAATGGAGATTTTGCAGTATCCTTCACCTGGAGTGGGGTGAGAATGGAGATATTGCAATATCCTTCCCCCAGGAGGGGAGGGAATGGAGATTTTGCAGTATCCTTCCCCTGGAGTGGGGTGGGAATGGAGATTTTGCAGTATCCTTCCCCTGCCACACCCACCAAGCCACTCCCACAGAAACGGTAGGAAAAAATTTTGGATTTCACCCCTGAGCCAAAGGTCTAGTTAGTTCACCCTATTGTTTTTTACATTGGCCAAACTTGTCACTGGAAATCCTACAAAAAGGTAACAATACGTAAGAGTCATTAGGAGTTGGGTGGCATACAAATTGGTTCAAAACCATTAGTCTTTGATTTACGACCATAATTGGGATCAGGATTTCCATTGCTAAGCAAGGCAGTTGTTAATTAGAGTCTATGATCTATATTCTAGTTTTAACTTAGAGACTGTTGTGACCCAGGCCCAATTAGGTATTATCAGACACAATAAGTTTGAAAACAAACAGACTTTATTAGAATAGCTGAGAAATAACACATTCTTAGCATAGTCCAAACTAATTCAAAACAAATTCTTCATAACACAATTCTTCAGCCTTATCGCCAACCTTGGTCTACTGTGGCAAACTACCAAAGGCTTTTCTTGGCAAAAGTTCAGAAGCAGAAGACGCCGACAAGAAATAAATGCAGCAAGACAAGAAACAAATCTATCAACGTTGTTTTCCAACAAAGAGCCCAAGAGCCATTGCTGATCTTTTAAGCCTTATGGGAGGGGCCAATCATCTCTTGGACTTACTCCCGAATCGTCCTTTTTGCTTTAGCTGCTCTTGCCTTCTGGCAGCTCTTCTCATGCGTGCACTAGGAACAGGCTCCTCCTGTTCCTCTGCCTCTCTGCTGTCAGCCTCTGGAGGCTCCGGAGTCCACACATTGCTCCCAGATGGCCCTGGCCCCATCTCTGCCTCTGATGCCGAGCCCTCATCCAGGCTTTCCCCAGCCTCCAGGACTGGCCCATGTTCTTCCTCGGCCTCCTCACTGTCTGACTCCGCTGCCAGCTCCACAGGCTGCTGGGGGACCACAACAGAGACATGGTGTGTGTTCTATGGTAAGAGCCATGGTGGTGTAGTGGTTAGAATGCAGTATTGCAGGCATATCGGACATTAATACACTCAAATGAATCCAGAGATACTTCACGAGAAGAATCCTCCACTCATCTACCCTCAATAAAATACCTTATGCCATGAGACTTGAACTTCGCCGTCATCGGTCCGACCCAAGCGTAGTACATAAAATTATCTGCTACAATGTCCTACCTGTTAATGAATACTTCAGCTTCAACCACAACAATACACGAGCACATACGGTGATGGATACAAACTTATGATAAACCGTGCCAAACTTGATTGCAGAAAATACGACTTCAGTAACAGAGTTGTTAATGCCTGGAATGCACTACCTGACTCTGTGGTTTTTTCTCCAAACTCCCCAAACTCTACCCTTAGACTGTCTACTGTCAGCCTCACCCCACTCCTAAGAGGTCTTTAAGGAGTGTGCATAAGCGCACCAGTATGCCTACCATCCCTGTCCTAATGTTCCC